GGCGTGGGCGCCGCCAGCCGCGGCGCTGCGCAGGAGAGCAAAGGCTGCCGCAGGAGGAGGCGCCGGAGCACGCCGCAGCAGGCCTGTTTCTGTCCCGTTAGGAGGCAGCCACGGCAACAGGCGTTACAAAAGCGCAAGGGAGTTGGAACGGTCTGCACCCAAGTCTGATTCTGAAAGAAGGTGAAAACATCTTCCCCCGGGAAAGACTGCTACTACTTTTTAGCAGTGTTATTGCTGCGGCTTATGCCACGGCACAGATCTCTTACTCCCCCTAAAAATCAGTGCATTTAAGCATGTAAGGCACACTTCCATTATTAAGCATACACTGTATAAAAATCGCTTCTCAGACAGACACAGGTTAACAAAGGCAATGATTGATAGCTTCCTGTAGATAAAGGTATTGCCGAGAAATGCTATCACCGGTAATTTTTGTCCCCGTCTTGCGAGCTTCTAACGTGAAGCCTTTTGAAATAAAGCATACAGCACCAGTGACGGAAGCTTTGGGCTCAAGCAGAACAAAATGCCAAAGGATGTTTGGATCGTATCTGCCAATGCAGAAAGAAGCCATAGGCTAGGGTATGAACAATTACCTTTTGAGACTCATCGCACTGTATGTCACCAGGCACAATTTTATGATTTAAAAAACCAAACCTTCAGAAAACAACAGTCCAGAAAAGAGATGCGGTCAAAAAATCCTGGAAGCTCCCTGACCGTGCTGACATCAAGACATACCAAATGAAGCGTTTAGGCCTTCATGATTTCCCCCCAACTGCTTAGTCATGACAAATTCTATGAGGTAAATCACCGTAGTCATGAAGACAGTACAAAGGCTTACATATAAAGGCTTAAAATTCAATTTTAAACCTAAGCCCTTCGCACTTTGAGCTAAATTGAAATTCTGTACTGGTAGGGTGTTCCAATCCCGATGGACAGAACACATCTTTCTGAAGTGCGGCAGTCCTGGTGAGTTTCCAAAGACGTTTCTTGCAGCCATCCTTTTCTGAATGAAATATGGATATTAGGAGAGGCCATAAGCGTGACAAAGCAATACAAATGGCAAGTGCAATGAATTCTTACGCTGCAGGCCCAGCTACTGAATAAGTCACACATACTGTGTATTTCGGAACAGTAGAAGATCCTTCAGTTTATGAAGCACCGGAAACATTACAAATATATACAAGGACCTCTAAAGAATTCAGCAGTAGACTCCTTCCTATTCTCTACCTGTTCTCTTAGCTACTCCTGTCTACACAGTCCACTGAAATTAAGTAACTGTCTTGCTTGTTTGAATGTTAATAAACAGAAATAAAACTCCTCTGAAAACTTTAGATGGGCAAGAAAAGAAAACCCGATAGCGAACCTGTGGCGATTTCTGAAGCAGAAAGCAATATATTGGTCTTGTGTAATTATGTTGGGTAGTTATGGCAATGGCTTACTATGACTTACCATGATACGCTTACAATGTTTGTATCCAAACTTTGTACCTCTTAGTGCATGGCTCAGCTACAGTCCAGCCACTACTTCTTGATGTCCTTTGGCAGAATCCCAGACACAGGTAGGACTAGTGTCTCCTGATATAAAAATCAAGATGTGGAAGCTCTACACATACTGACTCAGGAAGAAGCACTCCTGAAATGTAGGTAATAGCCACAATAATATAAAGGTCTCAAATTATTCCATTTATTATTCATCTTCATGAAATACCTGTGCTAAGAGTCTGGCTGTATTATCCCCAAATTTAATTAAAAATTGCTGACTGCTACATAATGAAAAGTGGTCACATGGTTTGTGATATTGTCCTGGTTTCGGCAGGGATAGAGTTAATTTCCTTCCTAGCAGCTGGTACAGTGCTGTGTTTTGGATTTAGGGTGAGAACAATGTTGGTAACACACTGATGTTTTAGTTGTTTCTAAGTAGTGCTTACACTGGTCAAGGACTTTTCAGCTTCCCGTGCTCTACCGACTGAGAAGGCGGGAGGTGCACAAGAAGCTGGGAGGGGGCACAGCCAGGACAGCTGACCCAAACTGGCCAAAGGGACATTCCATACCATGTGAC